GTCGAAAGAATCCATAATCGATAACGTTTTGCATTGAGTCAAACGCACCGCACCGCAATGCAATGGGATGGAGATGGGATGGAGATGGGATGGAGATGGGATGGAGATGGGATGATGGTGCTGCTGGGCTGTATCGCGCACCTGAATGGGATGTGTTGGCTAGAAAGGGAGGCCGGCAAGGGATTTCGCATTATGCGGTTTGTTATGGCGCACCACGTGCGTGTGCGAGCCATACAGCCACGAGGATATACGGGAGTACCTACCACCCTACCGCCCTGCCACCCTACCCACTCCAGCACCTAGAAATAGCTGAGCGGACTACGTGCCAACACATAGATAGAAAGGGATCATACATAGTCACGTTGCGCCAGGTTTATGCGCTCTACATCTGCGAGCGACCCAACCTCGGTCCCATTAATTAAGCCAAATAGATTGTAGGTATGCTAGAAGCACACGGGGACGCACGGACGCGAAATCCACGCCAGTTATCGTAATTAAGAGGAATCCTTGGTTGCTCCCTTGCTGAATGGACCATCGGATGCCGATTTGCTTATCAGGCCAGCGAGGTCCTCTGTGCTTTGGCCTTTTTTGTCCAACGACTCCTCACTTCGGCAGAAAAGCGAATCATTACTCGAGCGTTTCGTTCGAATCAGCGCGAGAGTCGCAGCTTTGAAAAATTGTTGATGCAAGGAGGTTAGAATTATTTCACTAAAACCGTTCAGGAAAATCTGCGATCTACAGGCTCGACCGACGATCAAAGGTCAGCGAACAGTCGCGCTCGCGCGAATCGGCTGATTGGACAATCGTTGATCTTTCCGCAACTGGCCAGAGACCCTGGCTGCCTGCGTCGATGCCTTCGCAACCATTGCCGAGGTGCGCGGTTAGGCGTCTTGTTATTTTTTAAAAAACCGAGAAACTCCAACAAATATTCTACGTTTCTTCTTTATTGACTCCCTGGCTCCTTCTCCTCTCTCTCTCTCTCTCTTTGCTTCTCTCTGCCTCTCTTCTGCTCATGGAAGATAGTCCACGCTGTTTACATAGAGGAACGATTCAAAGAAATCCTTGCCCGATAACGTTCGACGATTTATGGAAAGCGATAAGCCACGTCAAAGTTATAATCCTGGGTCAGATTGCAGAGGCGAATGGAGAGAGAGAGAGAGAGAGAGAGTGAGAGGGGGGGGGGAGAGAGAAACAAAATTTCCAGAGTTCACGAGAGATAATAAAGAGCTGGTACTTATGTGCGTTGTCGAATTCGAGGAATTTGAGCCGCAATAGTTGGCGCTGATCTTGTTCCAGGTGGATTTCTCGGGGACATTGCTCTGCCGAATATCGAATACGAGACGGAATGGCGACAGCAGCGGCTGAACAGGAGCTACCTCCAGGAGTTGGAGAAGTACAGGGATGAGATTCTCAAGGAAGGACTCCAGGTCGAGGAGGAGGGTCTAACCGGTGAGCAGGACCCTCTTCCCTCTTCTCAGGATCCTCGAAGACTTGCGTGCGGCACGAGGACCCTCGAGAATTGCTTAAGGACGCCTCGAGGAGCCTACTAACGATACTCTATTATTTCGTAGAGGTCCTGCAATTCAAAAACGAGTACGATGCGAAGAATGCCAGGAATCAGGAGGAGGAGGGGAAGGAGGAGAAGGAGGAGAAGGAGGAGAAGGAGGAGCCCGTCGCGGCCCTCGGGACATCCGAGCCGATTATGCTCGATCGCAACGAATACAGGATGGGCGGAGAAGGCTCCGATACTTTCCATTTTGCTTCGAAGGACAATACTCATCCTGCGGTCAAGGACGATGGCTTTGAGTTCAAGTAAGTTTGTCATGCGATTGGCCGATTGGCCGAGCGTCCAGTGTGGAAAGCGAATCATTTCAAAAAATTCTTCCAGGATGTCGGGAAGGACGCAATCTGCTAAGATCCGACATGGCGGACGCAAGGCGCTCGGCCATGCGTTTGAATCAACTACGAAATCCGATGTGTCGACAACGTTGCCTCCACGGGAGGCAATTCGAACGGCAGAAATAACCAATCGAAAGGACCATCCTGCTCGCGGTGACGTCACCGAGAATCCTCAGAGTAGCACAGTCATTCCAGAAGCCGAAATTAGTGCCGAGGGTCCATCTAAACGTCGCCATCGTCGTCATCATCGCAAAAGGTACCACCGTCGTCTTTCGAGATGAGACACAAAGCTGACGAATAAAATTATAGATCGCGAATTTCCTCAAGGTTTTTCATACGTAACCCACTTCCTGAGAGATGGTTCGATTGAACGCGAGACCGAAGTGACACCCGTCGTGTCAATAACAATGCGTGTCATCGTAAGGTGGGACAAATGGGGTCGAACGGCGGCGCGCGGAGTCCGCGTGCATTTTCACCGCACGAATTGTCAATAATCTGTCAAATGACGTAAATGGTATTGATGGCAGAGATGCCCTGGCGGATTCCAGTTTCGCAGAGTGCGATCCGCCTGTCGGCTAACCGTCCCTCGATGATAACCAACCCCTTTATTTATTAGCGAGAGAATTAATTGGCCGATACAAATTGAAAAAGAAAAACTTGCAAAATATATGTGATTCCTCTATCTCTCGTATTTCCATTGTACAAGAAGTCACGGAAAGTGCACGTGCGTTCAGCGTCATTCTGCGGCACAAAGATAATTTGAGGAAGACGCACAGCCAGAGCAAAGTGAAAAGTCGATGCATTAATCTTAAAGGGAAGCTGGGACCAATCTCGTCGCCCTTAAGGGTTCATTCACTTGAGTCTGAGGATTGGCGAGAGCCGTCGAGGGTGCTGGCGACTCTGCGGGATTCGAAGGTAACCCCTTCCTAGACAGGAAGGAGGAGTGATTTATCGAGATCGACGAACCGGAGAGTCGAGAGAATTCTAGCTCGTAATGACGCAGTGCCATCCGCGTACATCAGTGTCCTACGCGGAAGCGTCACTTCCCCCGCGCAACGAGGCTCCTTCCGGTACACGGAGATGTCTCCACCACCAGCACGCTCTTTCAGAATGCACCGCGCGCGCGTCCCACCGAGTGGGACGAGATCAAATTTCCCACTTTGGACGCTTTAAAAGCTTCCCTAAACGTGGTAGGAAAAAGAAAAGTTGGAGAACCGTGAAATCGTAATAACTCACGATCTTTGTAGAATTGTCCGCTCGAAGTATAGAGTAGCTGCGAATGCAAATTTAAAAGCTGCCTGCCGTTTAAATTCAGCCGATTTCAAGTTGCGCTTTGCGTCCCTGTCTCCTTGCCCCACTCTGCTCGTGCTGGCTGTGGTTTCGACTCAACCCCTGCGACTGTGCCGAGCACGCGTCATTACGTATTCGGAATACGCGGCAGAACGCGATTCAACTTTGCGCAAACGCTCAGGGGAACTGGACCTCCGAGACCCACCGAAGAGAAGCAAAACCATTAGTCTTCTCCGAAAAAAACTCGAAAAAAATCTCTTGAACTTCAGACAGCTCGGTGGTGGTAACTTTGGTTTCCCTTTCACCCTGCCGGTCTCTCGCTCCTCGTCCTCGAGATTCGCCTAACCTGACTCGACGCCACTGACAGCACTTCCAGAGGAAACACAAGTTTCAGCTAGACGCGTCGGTAAGCGAATGAGACGGCATAATTTTTTAATTAAAAAAAAAAAACTTGCAGGCGTTTTGAGTGGCTCGACGTTTAAGTAAGTCACCCAGATTATCGTGCACGTACGTTCTCAAGTAAGCAGCAAGAGCCAGCAGTGGCTCTATGGAGTCCAAGTGTGGCAGCGGTATAACAGCCGAGTATTTATCAGTGGCATATGGGAAATGCAGAATCATGGAAGCACATGAGTGAATATCGTAGGCGTCACGGAGTGCTCCCTTTTAAACTCTCGCAGTCAGGTAGTGATCGTTAGTCCTGATTACTTAGAGTCAGAAAAGGCACCTTAAGAGCCTTAACGACCTTAACGGCGTAACCGGAGCGACGCGGCACCAGGCTCCAGAGGCACCAACCCGCTAATTATTAATTATAATGCCATGCCGATCGAGGATGTGTTCGCGTGCGTGCCGACTCCGGCTCGCCAACGTCTCGTAATTAGTACTAATAAACCGGGATTAGAATCACACGTGCGCGCCAAGTCCACCGTTTAATGCGCTCTATAAAGGGCGGTAAATACGAGGGGAGAGTTTCAAAAGTCTCAACGAATCTGACGTCGTTATCGACGAGCATGTCTACTGGAGTACCTCCGTAATGAAAATAAACACTCGTGTGGTCGCGCCGAAGGCCGGAGGTCCGTTGAAGCACTGTGGCTGCCGTATCGGGTCGTCCTGGAGAGTGAGAGAGGGCCATTTCTGCCAGTCGGACACGTGCTCGACGAGCCCGTTAATAAGCTGAGCTTCGCCCTGCTAATATTCGGGATTTCGAGTAATTTCAAAGCCTTAGGGTCATATCGTAGCCCCATCGTACGGTGGGTACAGCCTGTAGCCATAGGGTGCAACCAGCCCGCGGCACAGTCGTAAACTGAAAGGAGCCGGTCTCTATTACGGTTCAAACGTTAAATCCGTTATAACCTGTTACAGGGTTACAGGCGACAGTTCACCTTTACTGCGAGATCTCGCGGAACTGGAGGAACGCAGAGCGCCCGTCTGTCTCGCATTCCTAGCACAGATACCATCCGTCGCACTCTGGACCACAATATTCAATGGCACGACGATGCGACGGACTATGTCGGCGCTAACCGCTTTATCTCCTGCCTCCCTTCTACTAGGAAGGGCTTGATGGCCCATTGTCCAAAGCTCGTAAATTCTCTGCCCTCTTTCACTTCTCTGCACTTCCGACCATATCCCACCGATCTCTTTCGGCTTCCCCTTCTTCCACCTCTTCGTCTCTCTACAGGACGCAGGCAGCGTGTGTCGATTCGTTCGTTCGTTACTAGGCTTGCTAGGAAATATTTTTTTTTTTTTGAAACGAGAGAAAAATCGTTGATAGGATGAAATGTTTTGTCAAACTAGGAAAGAGCGGAAACGCCAAGAGCGACGAGAGCTCTCGTCCCTCTTGAAGGACGAGGTCGACTCCTCGGACGAGGTCATCTCCCTCCACGATCGCCGGCTGCGATCGATTGAGTTTTACAACGAGCACAAGCAAAAGTACCAGGTGAACAGTCCGGGCACGTCCAGGCATCCCTTCTCCAGCAGGACTCGCCGAGCGGCGACAGCGCGCAAGGAGCGCGTCTGGGATCACGGGGTCATCCCGTACGAGATCGACGGGAACTTCTCCGGAGCTCACAAGGCCCTATTCAAGCAGGCCATGAGGCACTGGGAGAACTTCACTTGCGTGAAGTTCGTCGAGAGAGTGGCCAGGGAGCATCCGAACTACATCGTCTTCACCGAGAGACCCTGCGGGTAAGTCTTTGAGGAAAGAAATGCAATAGAGCCGTGAGATGATGTAGGGCAATTGGGTGACGTAGGAGGGTACGAGGGAGGGGGTGGAAGAGTGACTGAGGCTTTGAGAGTGAAATTCTACCGGCAGATGCTGCTCGTTCGTGGGAAAGAGAGGAAATGGACCTCAGGCCATCAGCATCGGCAAGAACTGCGACAAGTTCGGAATAGTCGTACACGAATTGGGACACGTGGTCGGATTCTGGCACGAGCACACTCGGCCCGACCGGGACAGACACGTGCAGATCATCCGCGACAACATCATGACCGGTGAGTGATTCATGCGACCGCCTCTCCCCACCTCGGGAGGATTCCGCTCGTTTCCGTGTAACACGTCGGATCATCCCCGTCCTGTCACTCGAGGAGAATCGCTCTGCGTCGGAATCTCCTGAGCTCGATCATTTGTTCTCTTTATTCTACAGCCGAGAATATCCGTCGAAGCGTTTTGAAGTTAGTCCGAGAATGCTCACAGGTTTCCTGCTTCGATCGTGTCCTTCCGATAGATTCCATGGGGCCTGATTAATCGTATACGCGAAGGGGTGGCAAGGTAGGAGGTAGAAAGAGAAAGAGTCAGGGTGATTAGAATGAACTGCTAACCCGATTGGCTCCACAGATGCTTCCGGTGTCTTTGCTCTCTGCTGGCACGCAGCCTTGTTTTTCAGTGAAGTCAATGCGAATGATTTATCTTTGAGGTCGGCCAATTCCGTGGCCGCGCAGAACTGCCGGCCGGCCTAAATCCTAAATCCTTTCCTTGTCGTTCTATAGAAATTCCAGTGAAGATGGCTGCCAGTTGGCGCAAAATTTCTCCTTCGCAAAGCTTTCTCTTGCGATCCGTTCGGCGGTTCCCAAGTTGCGGCGCAGATTAATGAAGCAATTTTTGAACGATTTGCTGGGCCCGAGGGTCGGCGTACAACGTCAGCCGATTGTTATCGGGCTTCAGGGGCAACTCCAATGTTTGCTAAGGGACGAGGGCCGTAAATCGGCCCTTAATTAATGATCCGCCACGCGTAACGCCCTATTTGGCCAGTGGGCTTTCTCAGCTGTTTGCTTCTGGGCTCATTCTCGCCATGTTTGCCTTTCGCTCGAGCGCGACTGTTCGCACTGGCTGGCCTCAGGGATGTCGCGGAGTACCGGAAGGCACTGTACTGTCCCTCGGGATAACGATAGGCTATTCCAGAGTGAATCGAATGGAGCTCACTCGATCGGCTGTCTAAGCTAAGTTCCTCCTCAGGTCAGGAATACAACTTTAACAAGCTGACCGAGGAGGAAGTGAACTCCCTGGGTTTGCCCTACGACTACGACTCCATAATGCACTACGCCAAGAACACCTTCTCGAAGGGCACGTACCTCGACACCATTCTGCCCATGGAGAACCACGGCAAGAAGAGGCCGGAAATTGGGCAGAGGATACGACTCAGCGAGGGTGACATCGCTCAGACTAATCTTCTTTACAAGTGTCACAGTGAGTTGCCTTATTTGACACAGATCTCTTTTGATCTCGCTCCCCTGTCTTTGCCAATGACCAATGACCAATGACCCTCTTCCACAGAATGCGGGCGCACCTTCCAAGAGAACAGTGGAACTTTTGGCTCGTCGACCCACCCGAACAGTTCGCCGGTCACGGACGGCGAGCGCTGCGAATGGCGAATCACGGCAACTCATGGGGAACGAATCGTTTTGAATATCAGCAGCTTGGACATATTTAAGAGCGACCATTGTCGAACCGATTATTTGGAGATCCGCGATGGATACTGGCAAAAAAGTCCTGTTTTAGGTAAAACATTATTGGTTCGTTTATTAAGTAATCACGTGTCTTGCGCAGAGGCTGACATTAGATTTTCTGCCAATTCCTGTTGTTTAGGGAGATTCTGTGGAAGCGGTAAGATTCACAATCCTGTTGTCTCCACCGGAAGCAGGATGCTCGTGACGTACGTCACTTCCAATCGTCAGAGCGGCTACAGAGGATTCAATGCGAATTACGAAGCCGTCTGCGGCGGAGAATTGGAGCTGAATGGAGTTGGTCATCTGGAATCACCAAATTATCCGGAAGAATATCAGTCGAGCAAGGAGTGCGTTTGGAAGCTGACTGTACCGCAGGATTATCAGGTGGCTCTGAAGTTTCAGTCCTTTGAAATTGAGAACCATGACAATTGCGTCTACGATTACGTGGAGGTGAGGGACGGTCACAATGCGGATTCGCCCTTAATCGGCGTCTACTGCGGTTACAAAATTCCTCCGGATATCAAGTCCGCTGGAAACAAGCTCCTCGTGAAATTCGTGAGCGATGGATCCGTTCAAAAGGCCGGTTTCTCAGCCACTTTTATGAAAGGTGCCGCTTCAAATTCCTTATTCAAATTTCATTTTTACAAAGAATCATCCAACTCTCCTTTAAACTTTAAAGAATTCGATGAATGCGCCCTAATCGATCATGGCTGCGAGCACGACTGTATAAACACGCTTGGGGGTTTCGAGTGCAGCTGCAAAATCGGCTACGAGCTCCATTCCGATGGGAAACATTGCGAAGGTAATTGAATTCAAAATCCTTAATAGCCACGAGTGATTTTTACCTTCTGACGTAAAAATGTTCTCTCTCCTGTCAGATGCCTGCGGCGGAATCACCGACGCCAGCAACGGAACGATCACCAGCCCTTCCTTCCCGGAAATGTATCCCGGGAACAAAAATTGCGTCTGGGAGATCATAGCTCCTCCACAGTATCGAATCACCCTGAACTTCACGCACTTTGACCTTGAGGGCAATAACGTCTACCAACAGGAGTGCGAATACGATTCCGTCGAAGTAGCGAGCAAGTTGAGTGAGGATATCTTACGAAGGCACGGGATGTTCTGCGGCTCGAGACTTCCGCCTCTCTTGACCTCGGAAGGGAATTCGATGAGAATCGCTTTCACCTCGGACAACAGGTAAAACCGGCAAAAGTTCGCTTGCCATCCATTTAACATAAAAATCGTGTATGCTCAGTGTACAGAAATCCGGATTCGCCGCTGTTTTTTTCATGGACATGGACGAGTGCGTCAATAATAACGGCGGCTGCCAGCACGAGTGCCGTAACACCATTGGCTCCTATCAGTGCTCCTGCCACAATGGCTTCACCCTCCATGAAAATGGACACGATTGCAAGGAAGGAGGCTGCAAGTACGAGATTACCGACCCTTCGGGAACTATCACGTCACCCAACTATCCCGACTACTATCCGGGCTACAAAGATTGCGTTTGGCACTTTACTACTACTCCTGGACATCGCATAAAACTGGTATGTACATATCCTATTCGATCAGCCAATATCCATGCGAAGAAGAGCAGAGAGTGAATTGTCGACTGTTTTCAGATATTCAACGCCTTCGAAATGGAGCCGCACCAGGAGTGCGCCTACGATCACATTGCCATTTACGATGGGGATTCTCCGGAGAGTCACACGCTTGGCAGATTTTGCGGAAGCAAACTGCCACATCCTATTCTCGCAACGAGCAATCAAATGTACATGATCTTCAAGAGCGATAGTTCCGTACAAAGGAAGGGTTTCATGGCCGTTCACACCACAGGTAATAACCAGGTTGCGTTAATCCCTAAGGGATCTCTGCTCCCTCCTTTACTTCATCCTTCATCTGCATTTACTTGTTACAAATAATTGCTGAAGCCTGCGGAGGACACTTGGTAGCAACGGATCGCGTGAAGCATCTTTATTCTCACGCAAAGTACGGATATCACAATTACGATCACAGAACGGATTGTGATTGGACCATAGAGGCGCCCCTTGGAAAGAACGTCCACCTGTCCTTCATGTCCTTCCAGTTGGAGGACGAGAACGAGTGTGGCTACGACTTCGTTGAGGTGTACTCTGGTTTAGACTCTTCCGGTCCAAGTTATGGCCGATTCTGTGGAAATTCCGTAAGTCCACGTATTCGTCTCAATAATTTTCAATGATTCATAATCGTGTTTCCATGTAATTGAATTATATTGTTCACGCAGAACACCACGGACATCATATCAATGAACGAGGCGTTGCTGGTTCGATTCCGCACCGACGACACGATAACCAATAAAGGTTTCTCGGCTGCATTCGTCGCCATCGAGAGGCAAGACAGCGAGGAGACCCTTAGCGGCGGGGAGGACGAGGACGAAAACCTTTGATCGAACGGAAACCTTCTGATCGACACGCTCGATTAGGAATGATTAGGTTTGCTCTCGTGCGACTTTACGGGCCTTCTACTTAGCTCGCACGTTAGAGCCGAGTATTTATGTTTCCTTTATTTCCTTTTGACAATAGGAATTCCATCCTTCAAGTAACGACCGTGACTAATTTAATTAATAATTACTCGTGAACACTCATTAGTATGTATGACCTATCGTTCGGCCTTAGCCGAACCTAAACGTGCCATGTAATTTAGCTAAAAGGTAACGTATTACTACTGCGAGCTCCGGCAGGATCACGAGTCAAATCCACGATGGATCGCCAGTATTCACTAGCTGACTTGTGCGCGACTCACTAATTCAACATTTCCCGCCCACTTTCCTTATCTCCATCCATTTATCGAGTTCCTTGTCCCTGCCCAAGATCCAAAGAACGAAAAGAAAAGTAAAAGCGGATTCGAGCAACGGAACCCATTCGATCTCCAAGTCGGCTAACAATGAGATTGAACTTGGGGATCGAGGGGACTATATACTATATTGTACATAGATATAATTAAAGGCAGGCTTGAACTTTGTGCTGTTTTACAAGTGGTTCTAGAATGTAGAGCAAGAGTTTCCGAAATGCGACTAAAGGAAGCCTCGAGCTCCCACGCTCAGAGCTGCATGCATTTCATTTTCGAAGCTGGGACTTTCGATGAACGAGGCCAGATAGACAGTAGTAGGCTGTGTGCTTCTGACTCTTCGTTTTCTCTCCGTCTTCAGAAGATTCTTCAAGGTTTCGGCTATGTACCTTCCTCTTTCGCTCTGTCCTGCGCGCCGGTATTTATTTAATTAATTATATATAATGAGTGTGTAAATATACTAATAATGTCAGAACGTCGCCATTGTAACGTCGCAACGAATCTCCTAAGAGATTATTCTTTCGATCGGCGCGTAATTATTTTTTCGAAGGCTCAGCCTCGACTAAGATTTATTTTGAAGAATCTCTACACACGAGTATACGAGCGCATTTCTACAAACATAGATCATTTGGCTATACGCAATAGGGACATGTACGTATACGCAACACACGTATACATGCACGCATGCACATTATAGACTTGAATATTTCCGTATAGACATTTATATATTAGAATATTAGATGCTCACCATTGTAGATTGGCATTATGTATGTTTACATGGAAAATGGACACGTACAGAAACAATGCCAATCTTCATTTTCGGTATCCATTAATAGTTTAAACATTCGGTACTCACAGGATGACAGTCGGCCGAGTTTCCAAAAATTCGTGGTACCATTTAATTGGTTTATTCGCTTCCAAAATATAAGATACACTGATTTTCACATGTTAATACATCGCTTTCGATTTAGCGAGATATTATCGGATCCTCCTCCTCTTTAAGGCGTGCTTACAATAATTCATTCTTTATCACAGGTAAAAGTCGCTCGTTCACGTCGACCTTGTGAGCAGGGTCGACCCTCGGGACCTCCACTACGAACGCCTCAATACTTCTCAATACGCCAGCAAGAGTCAAAACAATATTAAAAGGAAGAAAAGATTGACGTACGGAGAAATACAAGTCCCGTCGCGTAGGCCCCGGTCGACAAATAGAATTCCAATTCGAATACGTCACCAGACGACAATTCGTTGGTCCGAACATAAAATATAATTTCTCCTTCGTGTAGCCTAATAGGCTGCCTTGCACATGAACGATACATGATCCTTAATACTTACTCTAGAATACAGTATATTATATATAGTGTCTCTTGAAAAGTGAAAAATATGGAATAAAACGCAGCCCAGAACGCGAGCAGTTTTTATAATAAAATATAAAAAAGAAAACTTACAATCGCTCGTATGCATTAGTTGCATGATAAGTCCGCAGAGTGTACATGTATAATGTCAATACCTCTATGTATGTTTATCAACTTTTTCGGCCATTATTTACAATAATTGGCCAGTATCGCAATTTTACTATCGATAATCGGTTGTCCAACGCAGATTCAAATTGAAATTATATACAAATTTAACCAGATGAAAGGGAAATGATTCTTGATGTTCATCATTGCGCGTGGACAAACGACTCTCGGCCAACACAGCTTATCAGCTCAAATCAGTGGATTCTTGTATTCCTTATGCCTTAGCCTAAATTATTGCATTTGATCGCTTAAAGACCGAAGATTCTATGTTTAAGGAGTTTTTCTAGATTCTCATCAGAAATGGAGTATACAACGCTTATTAACTCTACGAGTAAATGAATGAACCAAGCGGAAGCAGCTTCCTATCGGTAAGATTCAATGGCGATCGCCGGCCCTTAACGGCAGTACTCCGTCACTTATACACTCACAATCAGTCAGGCATCTTCAAAATAAAGAAGAGTTACGTTCCACCAGATTCTGGGTCCGGATTAGTCGATCTGCTGGGTCCACTACCATCCTTGGGACCGAAGCCATTGGCCATTCGCTGATAATGAGGTTTCCAGGCACTGAGTGGTCTCGTGTAATCCAAATGATCATACACCGTATCCGCATTATTTTGTTTAATCTCATCGTAGAGATGTTCGGCCTTTTTGCCATCCATTTCGTCGATGGTGTGATAATTGTTCACGTTCGGATTACCAAGATCCGCATCCTTATTCTTCAAAGAAGCTGCGTGATCGTATTGCAATCCGTAAGCACCTTTCGAGCTGTCTTCGTCCTCATCCGTGCAGCTTCCATGAGCGGTACCTAACTTGGCTCTCTCGTTGTTCACATTCTTCATACCCAGGTCGTTCTTTATTTGAACGTTGTTCAACAGAGTGGCCGTGCCGTCATCGGATTTCGATGAACCTTGATACGAGTACACGGGATTGTCGAACTGATTGCGATCTAGGAGGAAAAAAAATGTTCAGCCATCAATGTAAGTTTTCTCTTTTCGCGTGGGAATAACTCTAAAGAAGTGTTATTTACCAGGTGACGTAATCGGCTCTGCCGCTATGTAATGGACTTGTGCTATCTCCTTCTTCAAATTAGAGACGCGCTTGCGATGATACATCCAAGCTGCGAAGGTGCCGGCGATAACTATGATCGCCGCGAATATTCCGGCAACGACACTTCCGTATCCCGACTCTTCCTTCTCCTGAACGTTGCGAGAGAAAAGTTGTTCGTCGCAATTTTCACCTGAAACGTACCTCGATTAGCTCAAACGAATAATCATTCGGAATTCCTTGTACGTACCCGTGTACCCATGTCTGCAGATGCAACCGTTTATGGGATGACATATGAAGAAGTCATTCTTGCATTCGCAAGGCAGCATGCAGTGATCACCGTAATATCCTTCGGGACATACTAAAGTGCAAAAGAAGGAAGATTGTTATCCGCATCTCTCAGTTTTGCTGATCATTTCGTTTATCAATAAATGTAAAGTCAACGGGTATCCTTACTTTCCGTACACCGAGTTCCAGTCCATCCTGGCTCGCAGCGACAATGACCATCGTTCGATCGACACATTCCTCCATTTTGACATTTGCAGTGCTGCGTGCAGTTGACGCCGTAAGTTCCCCGAGGGCAGCGATTCTGGCAGAGTTCCCCTTGCCAACCAGGTAGACACTGACATTTGCCTGCAATCATATACCCAGTCGAAGTAATCGTCAAGACATCATAACCACCGACTTCGTCGGAAGATCAATGATACAAGGAATGATTCTTCTGAAACCTACCAGTGACATGATGGCACTCAGCTCTGTTTTTGCAATGGCAGTGATTGGCACAATTGAGTCCGTATCGTTCCGGTGGACAAGGATGTTCGCAGGTCAGGCCCAAGTACCCAGGTCGACAGATGTACTCTCCGGTTACGTGGTCGCAAGTCATATTTCCTGAAAGAAGAGACGCACATTGACTGGTGCGATTCCGCAGAGAACCGGTCCACATAGAGGAAGGTCGAGAGCGCAAGCCTAGACAGCGGAGGAAGAAAGATTCTGGGTATCGCGTTAGACAGGATGTCCAACCGGCGTCCAGAATAATCTGTCAGAGTGCGAGTCCTGGAGGATCGCGGATCTGTACTTACGAGGCAACGATGCGCAACGATGCGGCGAGATACGATGGGCGGTCAAAACCAAAGGACTGAAAGTCGAAGGAAGGAACTCTGGCGGAAATAGTAGGAATACCAATGGAGAGAATAAAAAAAACCAAGCATCTCTACGTAGAAATAAAGAAAAGCTTCGCCTGGCCAAAATGTTCAACCAGAACGATGAGAAGCAGCGAGCATGCAAGCATAACATCCAAAGACATACGACCGATTTAGCCGAATGCTCTAGTCACTCAAGAAACAGAAAATTTACAGTTTGCGGTAACGCTAAGAATTTTTCGTAATTTCTCTTATGACGTAAGGTTCGAATAAATGTGTCATAACTTACCGTGCATTTTTTTGAGACACTTTTCTCGACAGCGCACGCCGTACCAGCCTTCTTTGCAGGGCTGCGAGCAATCATCTCCCTCCCAGCCTCGGGCGCAAATGCAGCGTCCGGTTTCCGGGTCACAAGAGCTATTGTTCATGCAGTTGCACTGCTCGTGACACTTATCTCCGTAAAGACCCTCAGGACACTGAGTCTCGCACCGGTTCCCTGTTTAGCCATAAGTTCAAGTCTCTACCGATCTCACGCACGTGACAAACTATGGACTACAGATTGGAATGATTCGGTCAAAACTACTCGAATGCTCCACGCGTTTGCGTTGCGAATGTTTTAAATAAGAGAAATGACATTAGGAATATGTCGCAAATAAGACGATCGGTGCAGGTATGTGACATGACCGGAAGGAATGGGAGCAGAGACAAACCTCGCCATTCTGGCTTGCAGATGCAGCGTCCGGTCGCCGGGTCGCAGTCGACGCTGTTCTCATCGTCGCAATCGCAGATTTGCTCGCATTTGTATCCATAAAATCCCTTAGAGCAGCGGTCCTTGCACAGCGTCCCGGTGAAACCAGCAGCACACGTGCATGTACCTTTTGCAATTGCGTATTGGTGATATATGGGTGCGGGGGTGAGACGCACACGTTTACGTGAAAATTAAAAAAGAAGGAACACCTGAGTGAGGTCTTTGTCTACGGCTCTTGTTAAGAGTTCGCGAAAAAAAAGAATGCTTGTGTCAAGTAACATGCGTGATATTCTCTTCCAACTACCAAAACCAAGCAGGGTTGTCAATCGAGGTATCGGCTATTAGTTATTAGTTGTTCCCTTACCATTTTGCGGATTGCACGCTGCATCGTTGAAGCATTCGCACTTGTCGTTGCAGTCCTGGCCGTAAAATTTGTCAGCACAAGGACGATCACAGAGGACTCCAGTCCATCCTGGTAAAATCCACACACACTACTGTCAACGGACAACTTACCTAATCGCACGAAACCTCAAATTTTATTTATACGACAAACGAACAAACACTTCAAGCACAATCGAGACAAAACGGCGCCTTGCAGAAGACGAGCGAGAAATACTAAACCGACCGCAAACAATACTAAGCGGTACAATAACAAATTTTTTGGATCAAGACGGAAAGAAAAGCTACTAACACTGACATTTTCCTCCTCCGTTCATCAAGCTTGAACTCCTCTTCTTTGACGTTTTCTAATTAACTACCCAAAGTACCGGGATCACCTTACCTGCAGTGCAGTTGCAGCGACCGTTCTCTGGCGAACAAGAAGCTCCGTTTTTGCAGGCACATTTCTGGGCACAATCCTCACCAAAAGTGTTTACCGGACACAGTTCACTACAGTCGTCACCTCTGTAACCAGCGGCGCACATGCAGGTGCCGTTAATGGGCGAGCATTGGGCGCTGTTCTTGCAGTTGCACTTGTTTTGGCAGCCCTTGCCATACGTGTAAAAGGGACAGGTTCGTGAGCAGGTTTCACCATCCCATCCAATTTTGCAAATGCATTTTCCAGTCCAAGGATGACAGAGTTCCGTATTGCTTTCGTCGCATTCACAGACCTAATAGAGAATATACGGTATAGAGTTTTTAGAAAAATGCGATCTACGGCTCGCTGCGTATTATGCCGAAAATTCAAATGACCTTGGTACAGTTAGGGCCCCAGCGATTCTTGCTGCATGCACGCAAGTCGCACGTTTTACCCATCCATCCAGGACTGCAGTGACAGGTCCCATCTATCGGGGAGCACGTGGCGCCATTATTGCAGATACAATCGTTTGTGCAGTTTAGACCGAACTTGCCTTCCGGACACCTTTGAAGACACTGCGGACGAAATAGTATAAAATTCAGATATTTCGAAAAGCACCAAAATACTCAGTAATATAACTATTGATAGGTACATTGTCACCGTAAAAACCAGCTTTACATAGGCATTCTCCAGTAATGTGATTGCAAGAAGCTCCATTGTAGCAGTTGCATGTCTCACTGCAGTTTTTACCCCAACTACCCTCAGGGCATCGATTGCCGCAAACGGAACCCTGCAAATCAAATTTGTCTGTTACATTTTCGAAATATCGAGACTAAATTTTCATCAAATTTGCAGTACCATCCATCCAGAAGTGCAAAGACATTCGCCCGTCGTAGGATTGCAAGATCCACCATTTTGACATCTACACTCGGACTTGCACTCGTCCCCGTGTTTTCCAACAGGGCAGACATCGTCGCACCTGAAGAGATAACAAGTCTGACATAGCTGTTCAAGTTTCTATTTGACAACTTGAGAAATTCTCTGGTTAGCGAAACTTACAAAGGCCCTGTGTATCCAGGAGCACAGTGACACTCGCCGGAAATGTGGTGACAACTTCCGCCATTATGACAGCGACATTCCTCAACGCAATCCTGACCATAACGATCGGGAGAACATTGTTGATGACAGAAGATACCGGTCCAGCCTCTGGTACATCTGCACTTGCCATCGAATGGATCGCAGGTGGCTCCATTCTGGCATGCGCAATCCTCCTGGCAATCTCTGCCCCATTTGCCCAATGGACACTCTACCAAGAAGAAGCCGTTTCAAGTGAGATTTCCCTGGAGAGATTTTTACTGGAGATGAAACAAAATTTAAACTCACTTATATCACATGCAGGACCTCCGTATCCGGATTCGCACTTGCATTCATCCGGCGCTACACAAGTGCCATGGCGACAGTCCTCCGAGCAGACCGGAATGCAACGGTCGCCGGTGTTGGTCTTCGTGAAACCCTTGCAGCATTCTTCGACGGGTCGTGTTTTCAAGAGGGTCTGAGAGAGAGAGAGAGAAAATGAGAGAGAATTCCAAGTTTGAATTTGGACATTAAAGAACAACGGAAGAGGTTATGTCGAATGTGGCTGCCAACCTATCCTTACCTGAGTTCTGTAGACTGTCTTGTAGTCAGACTTGTACTTGGAACACCTTGGCGGAAGGCTGAAGCACCAAGTGTAGACGCGCATCAGATACGGGACCTGCTCGGATATCCTCACAGTCGTCGTGTACCTACGTCATCATGATAACACAGAAATGAAGGATATCAATTAAGAAGTATTATTAGCCAAGAGGATTCTGGGATCACATACTGTTGCTGCTGCGTACAAACGTTGGGCCCTTCCAAGGCCCCCACGGAGCTCAAGACAGTCAGAGCCACCGTAGAGACTAACAGCCAGATCAGACGACCCATTTCGCTCGTTCGAAGTGATTGGTCAATTATATATCTTTTCTCTTTGTCCTTTAACGCGCGTATCAGCACAGCATTTCTCCTGACTTTCTGTTCACTTTAAAGAATCAAGAGGATCGATCCAGCAAATAATGATACTTGACATCAGCGGGGTCCATGAGCTTCGACCTTCATCGTGATATTCTGTGTTCTGTAAAAAAAAAAAACAAGAAAACAAATTCGCTTTAGCACTGCTCCTCTTTCGTCATTTTCTTCTTCTTATGCTTATTCTTTTTCGCCAGTTGGAAACTGTACTTATAACTGTACGCTAAAGTGGGTGGTCAGTAGAAGCATAAAGAAGGTCGGAACCTGGTAGTTGCTCAGTGCACGCTGTTCGTCCCGTTCAGTGCTGACCAGTCGCTGGTGGCTTTTACTGCGCATGCAGTGGACGATCACGTGTTTTCGACTTCTCGAGAAACAAAGTCGGTTTACGTTACACCTTATTGCAGATAGATCACATTTCAAATCACTGCATGCCAAGCCAAGGCTAACCCGATATATCGGAGGACTGTCATTTCTAATGGACATTAATTATTACTGAGCTCCGAGTTTGAGCAACTAGCATCCTAAACAATCTAGGAAACCAGACGAAACAATAGCAGTTTGAAATTCAATTTTATATGCTGCATTTTTGTCACGAATGTATCCAAGAAAAGATTGTATTTTAAAATGACGGTCATGAAAATAAACCAAAAATAACCAAACGCGACTAAATCTGGTTTGTGGCACCCTGCCCAAGGACTCTCCTTTTCCACTTTTTTTCAATTCCTGGTTTCTTTATTGATTTAACCGCGAATTTAAAAGAACTTCCTATGCATATTTCTTTCTAGTCGAACGTTACTCTTCTGATCCACGAGTGAATCACTCGTCGGGACGTGCTGGCATAAATGGACCTCAATTTTTTGTTGATCAACCAACCTCGTGATTCACGTGCGCAGCTATTTCTTTGCATGTGGTGGCAAACGGAAAAAAAAACAAGAAGGCACGTGGCCGGAAGTCTCAAATTCTGAGAATAAGAATATTCGATAATGCGCATTTCTTTTCAAGTGCAATAGACCGAAGCGTCTCTATCGTATCCACTCGACGTCCATCTCTGGCGCCACAGCAGCCCATGTGTAAAATAAAAAAGGAAGTGCTTCTCCCGCTGGACGCGAATCTGGCCGCAAGAGGTTGGCTCGAACACGATGCTTTGTGTTTTCGATATTTTCGCGAATTCGCAGACCCTTGTAACACATGTTATCCGCCACAGTGGGAACTTCGCTGATGCGCGTGCCTGAGTGCGCGAGGGCGTAGGTGTCCAGAAGGTGGTACCAGTTTTGTGCGGAACATTCGTCGTTCATGATCATGCAGAGCCATCCCCGCAAACAGCAACTTCCCACGCCACGTTTTTTTGTTCATCTAATCAGGCATATAATTTATTAAGCGTCAGCATCTCGCGCTGCTGCTCCGAGAATGTGTCGACCTAACTTCTTCGTGGTCTTTCGCAAGTCCAGCGGAGCACGTGCGACGCTCCATGCGTCAAGGGGTCCCGTTAACGATAATAATTTGCAGAGAGACTGGAACAACGGGCCAGGAGCTGATGACGAAGAAAGCCTGTGGCTCGAGAGCAGGGGTTCGATCTTCGCGGCTCGCAGGCAGACTGGCAACCCCTACTTTGGTCTTCCCTTTGTTCAGTCCTCCGAAAGAGCCCACGCGTTCAAGGTGATGGGGTGGCCCGTATGCAGATGCGTGCCAAACGCACTGGAAAATAATAGCGCAGAAGGACGTCATGCAAAGCCCCTCCCCTCCAAAGGCCCTCCCTCGTTCCGCCCCGCAGGCACCAAGCCTGCAGCTACCGTAGCTCAATGCACCTCGGTGCAGCTTTGCAATGCACTTGCGTCCAAATTAATTGGACTGGGGGCGAAGCTGCGCCTCTCGTCCTCCGAGAGCCAGTTAATTAATTAACAGTGGATGTGCAGATCTCGCAGGAGCGACGATTGATAGCGGTAGCGTCATTGCCAGAAGTGAACTGACTCACAGGATGTGGTGCAGCTCTCAAATGGCAATAGAGAAGGACGGCAGCATTGGCACAGTCCGCAAGAATGGAGAATTGCGTCGCTGCCTAGAGACAATCTGTTCGTTGTAACGAGGAACGTCCATCCGTAGTCGCTGTCCAAAGTCACGCTACTCGTATTACTCTTGTGGGGCAGACGCTTGACGCTTGACGCTTGACGCTTGACGCTCGACGCTTGACGCTCGACTTCCTCGACGGTTGCGTCATGCAGAAATCTCTTCGTATTCGTGACTTACATGGGAGCCGCGATTGTACTTTGGACTTTCGTATACTTCCGTGACACAGTCGAGAAACGGTGCGGCGTTTGGAAAGAGAAAAAAAAGAAAAGAGAAAAGAGGTCATTAGGCGGAATGCACGGAGAAGCTTGCAATTTTAATGAGGCGAGGGCTGCTGCAAGCGGGACGTGTGTCGTCCTATGAAATTACGGGATGCATCCCCCCGTCCCCCTTTGCCCTACACTTATTTCGGCCCTCGCATTATCAACCTCCGCCTGCACGCTGCGCGCAAAGTGTTACGTGAATTAAATTTGTTTATCGAAAACAAATTAATAAAAAAAGTCTTTTTCCAGATCCTTTAGAGAAAATATAAGTTCCTGATTGCACAAGGGCTGCTCGCTCGATACCGCAACGAATCCGGACTTTTGCCCTTCGCCCTCCGCCAGCAGCTCACGTAACGGCGCAAAGTCCAACGTTCCATTCGTCACGAAGACCGCCGACTGCACACATGCGTCCACGTGTGTGTACCTGCACGCGATATCACATTATACATTGCTTTTATATCTATTTGCACACGTGAGTGTAAGACAATGGCGTTTGATGGCAGCATTGTTATCCATGATCTGTTGACATGGATAAGGAATGGGGATTCAGAGAAGCTTCTTATCTGGTCTCCGAGCACCAAACACGACGCACGGCGGTCAACGGATTCACGGAGAATTTCCTCTGGGGAATCTGGGGAATCTGGGGAATTTCGAAGGAGGATGGCTGCGCTGCGCGCTTCGCTTCCACCGTCGCCTCCCGCCTTCCTTGCAATTGGTTCACGCGATTCAAGAGGAACGGATGTAAGCGCAGATAAATGAGGAACGAAGAGATGGAGATACATGGGCGCGCTCAAGTTCCGCTCGCAGCCTCCCAAACGCCGAGCGATAAATGAGACCGGAAGCGACAGTTAAGCCACGTCGAAGCTTCCCTGCGTGCGTTGTGCTCGCCTCTCCTCTCCTCTCCTCTCCTCTCCTCTCCTCGCCTCTCCGCACCTCCTGCGCCTGCGGCACTATCTGCCGTCGTTGCTGCGCACTCCTGCTGCCATGCGGGATATATCGCCGAGATACGAGTATCCTGCGACTTTCTTTACGCAACCAGAACGCAGCTCGGCGACGGTGAAAGTTGCACCTGGTGCGTGTCTCTGCAGCTCAGGCTAGATTGCGAAAACTTTGAGAATTTGAAGCAGCCCGGAGGAAACGGCTCGCGGGGCTGTTGGTTGCACCCAGCTGCACCCAGCTGCATCCAGCTGGACCCGTGAGACTTCGTCGAGGGGGTTATCTGGTTCAGCGCGGCCCAAGTCCCTTCGTCGCCTCGTTCCCTGCTTCGGCGAGATTTAAAAAGAAGAAAGAAGAGACTCCAGACGTCGCACTTAATCTGTGCTACTGAGTCAAAATATGTGCTTCTTGTTTGCCGACACTCCGAATCACCGAAGATTCAGCAGGCTAGGCGATTCGCACTTTGCAAACGCGGCAGTTTTTCGAAATTGCCAAAGCCAAAGTTTTTCTCCTTTTGCGATTCGACAGAGGTTGCGTTCACGTTCGTAGTGCCGCACACGTGATTCATAAATAGCTGTAATAAACCGTAAATGGATTTACGGAACAAGATTGATCGATCGGAACGGCAGAACAACCAACGGTCACCATAAATACCTCAAATCGAGATAATCTTGAGGCTTCTACAGTTGAGCCGTTGAGCCGTTGAGCCTGATTTTGGCTCAAAAAGAGTCAAAGGCTCCTGAGTGCTGAAGGCCATTCTTGTTATCGTCATCCAGTGTCTCTAGCAAATGCTAATCGCTCCAGTGACTTGGACCAAACGCAACGTTACTGCAACGCTTAGAAAGAAGTCGCCTCGAGGCTCCCGCAAGACGTGCGCAAATGCGCAAATGCGCAAATGCACAAGTGCACACATTCACACGCGCGGAAAGCACGAGCGTCCTCGAGCACCTCGGGAAACTCATCCGTCTCTCCTCTCATCCTTGGCCGGCCAAGATCTTCCTCGGGCGCGATGCAGCATCCCAGCACAGCAATACATATATATCGATCCCGTTTATTTTTGTGCATTCCTATGCAGCCGCAGCTGTTTCAAAGCATTATCGACCGCACCGAAGCATCGCTGCAATGTCGGCGGCAGCTTCTTCCTTCACGCGGACATCTTTGCTCCCTCGCCGCAGCGCCAACTGAATTTACCCATTTCAGCTACTCCAGATTTAATCTTATCCAGCAAGTCCTTTCGGCACAGCATCCGTTGCCAGTCGCGTCGCTGGAGAAATCATCTGCGGTAGGTAATCGGCAGGTGTCGGCCTAGTTGTGTTTGCTCGAATGCGAAGGCCAAGCCTCAAGTTTTCTCTTATTTTTCGAATTGCACGTTAATGGAAATTCCGATTGGCAACGCGCAGCCGAAAAGTTTATCGCAATTCTTTTCCCTGCAGCAGCAAGAAAGACTCTGCGCGCTGGGCAATCGGCAGCCTCCGTACAGGCCGATCGGACCCGTCAGCGGTTTTAACCTAACCTAATCTAACCTCAAGGCGGCTCCCGCGTGCAAGATATCCAGTCGCAGGTTTCCGTACTCTCGCATGCATGGCGGCCACAGATGACGTGACGTAACACAGGTAGGATACGCCGACTCTGTCGTAGGATCGTGGATCGACGAGCGTGTTTCGAGCGTGTCATTCGAGGAAGGTCCAGTCATTCTATAGGCCACGTGGGTATCTAGTTACGCAGGCGCAATGCCGCGCATTTCTCGAAAATTAGCACTTGGTAACCCTTTTATTTAATTTCGCCAATTCATCCTGTTCCACGACGATTCAGCCCACGAATCCTCGCTAAACTCATTCGCGGAATTGCGAACAAACGGACTGTGAACAGCAAAATTCCCTCCTATTTTTTCACTTAACTCACTCTGCCGCCGTAATTCTTTTCGATATAATACGTAAAAACATAGCTCGCTAAATACCACTCGGACCTGATCGATATCGTCGTCGTCATCGTCATCGCGTTTCTCACAAACTTTGCCTTTCACTTCCACTATTACCGCCACACTAAATGTTTGCGCTCGTAATCTGCTCACTGCTGTGAGCAAAGTGACTACTTCCATTTTTCAAATTCCACACGCTACGTGTTTCTTAGCTCCGTATTCGTAGTCAGCGCTTGAGACGAAGCACAGTCTTAAGACCGTGGATATAGTAATAGTAATGGTGGACATAGTAGAGGATGTCTTAAGATCGTGCTTAAAACGAACAACTGACTATGAGTACGGGCCTTAAGACACAAGTTTCATAGATATCTTACCGTCGCCAACGTGCGAACGTTCCTCGTTATCGCCGAGCCTGGACTCTACGTCTCTACATTGACATATGCGAAAAGCATTCGAGGTTACGAGGATTGCACTAACGATACATTCGTAAAGCTCACAGCTAGCAGCGCGTGACGTGTGCACTGACTGGGAGGGGCGTGGAAGGAGCGAAAGAGGGAAAGAGGGAAAACCTTTAAGGCTATGCGGGCTAAGATGACTTTACCCCTATGAAATTTCACTCTATTACTCTGTCACCGAGATACGTTCTTTTCTAGGATCAATAGTCGCGTCTCTTCGAACGAGGTATCTGCTTATCTAGGACATCTTAGTGATCTTGTAATTGGATCATCGGGAAAGCTGAGATAACATAGTCGCACCTAACGCCTTGACTATACTGATAAAGAGGAATGGAATTCGACTGTTTATTTTCTTGCAATGCGTCGAATATCATCTGTTTTGAAAACTAGCCACGTCTAGTGAGCGTTCTGTGAGCAGCTACGCGCAGCTACGCGCTGCTACTAGCGAGAGGGACGCGTGAACAATGTGGCTTGTCAATGAGTTAACGGGTACCGTTAGTATCGGCGGTACCGGCAAGTACCGGCAAGTACCGGCAAGTACCGGCAGAGTAATCTTTCGGCCGAAGGCCTGGACGTCCGTAGCGCCTTCGGCATCCTAATATATCTATAACGATAAGTCTACGAAGATGTAACATTAGCAAAGTTAGGAAGCCTAGTTAGGATGTCTAATGAGGAGTTTCCTAAAATTCAAAGTTTGCATCACTTCCGAAAATGTTTGCTCTCTCACACGGAAATCCATCCCAGAGATAAACAAAATTGAAAGATGCACTGGATTCCGCACTCTTGGCGCAAACAAAGACACACTCATAGAATAGTAGATAATGCACGAAGTGAGTAAGACTAATAATGGAGGGAACATGAAAGGCAAATAAAACGTGAAAATTGAAATGAGTCATTTCCGGCCTGACATTCAAAGTATAATGGCGAACGCCGGAGAAGCGGAACGCGCGACTCGTCACCCTGACATCGGAGATCGGACTTTTCCTAGTCGATAAGCGCCTAAGAAAACTGGGAACGACCTGGACGACGTCAGTATTCTAGAGCATCGCCACGCAAGGAACACCTTCACAGTTAGACGAAGGACACATCAACCAAGTGAGCTTGAATGACGAAGACTTCCTCGCTGGCTCATTCGGTCAATGATTCTCAGCCAGACGGATAAACAAAACTGTGCTCAGCGCCATTATGAGTTTAATCCGTCCCAAGGTGAACGAGAAAAGGCCTCGAGGGAAAGAGGAGGATACCAGAATGCAACCTGGACACGTTGTGGATGTTACACCCATACATTTCTGGACTCTGAATTCCCATTGGAAAATCACACCCGGGTTCAGTTGCCTCTCGCCCTGACTTTGACGTTATCGCTTAATATTCTATATTTTCCTGTCTATAGTATTTTTTGCAGTCGATTTCATGGACGCAATTCATGCGCAATACAAATTCTCTATTTTCGTACGCGCATTGTCTCTCGATGTTTTTCTTTGTCAATCGACGATGAATTTAGCGTCCTTCGACACAACGAACGTAGAAGCAAGTCACGAACCTCGGATCTCCCAGAGCGCTCGTCATGATTACGAAAGGAAAGCGGCCTCAACGAGGAAGCAACTTGCTTGTAATTTTTAAATGTGCCGAACAGGAACCTAAAAAAAGTCGCTAAATCGTCCAATCGAGCGCCAGGACCCCAAGTAATTTCACAATAGAGCTCCAGAAAATCGTCATCGTTTTTCGCGTTGACAATTTGCCATTTACACCTCCCAATTCGTGTCATAACAGACTGGTTGCTCGACTTTACGATCTTTTCATCGACAAACACAAACTCACCCGTTATTATAATTGGCGTTATAATGCTAATGAGGCAACTGCGCTTCGCCGTTAAGTTTCCAGTCCCTTCGAATAACGTACTCTAAATACTTCACATTATTACCAAGTAAAAAAAGTGAAATGAACTACAAACTAAACTGCTAACTGAACTGCAAGCTAAACTAAACTCGCTACGAAATAATTATTCAGACAGGCAGAATAAACTCGACCTGCTTCCTGTTCTGTTATGAACAGACTAGATAATTCCGTAATTATTCCAAGCATGTTCCAAATACTCGGGTTCACTTCTGACCCAGAATCCACCGCACCAGCATCAAGCAAGTGGTCGAAATTACATAAATTTCTCAAAGAATCAGAAAGCTTTTAAATACATGATATTAAACTAAATGGGTAGCAAATATGCTTTGAGCAAGAATCGTCGCCTAGTGAAGATGTATTGCGTCTCCAGCAAAGGAAACGAGTGTGTCTACAAGAGACAGAGTAAGGATCACGCTAGCAACTTTCAAAAGAGGAGTAATAATACATACGTACCGTAATAGCAAGGAGCTATTCAGAATAATCTAATGAATCCAATAAAATCCAAGGGTCGACGATGCTTGCGCACTCGCGATTATCTTTGAGAAAGAAAGAAAACACCAGCTGATCAAGTAAGAATAAAAACTTGACACGAAACACTTCTCACGCAGCGTCTGTCGCGCGACTAAGCTCTAGCGAATGCTGACGAGTGCCGCCGAGTGCTGCATTACGAACCTGCACGAACGCGGCACGAAGCTGTCGCTGTGCTGTGAGGCCCGGAACAGCTCGGGACTGCCCGGGACCATAATACATATAGACCAGGTATAGCCACTAGCGATCGTATTTTGGTCAAGATCGTGCAGGGACCAATGACATCATACTCAAAGCGACATCAGTTTTACTTTGAAGGGACTTATTACGTTTCGGTTCGTGAGGATATGGTCCCTCAAAATGGAACCGACGTTACGGCGTGATGACACAACACGTAAAGTCAGCCAATCAGAATAAAGAGGGTCTACTGGTCAGCCAATCAGAACAATGAAAATCCAGTGACGTCACTCTCCAAATGCGCAGAACCGCTAGTGGCTATACCTTCTGTATTTGTATCGAGCCCGGGACAACCCGGGGCCATTCGGGGTCCAGTGATCAATGACACTCAATGCCACATACAATATCCAGAGGAGAAGAATTTACTTCTACGTTAGTTTTTCATTTCTTTATAGCTTTCAGTATCGGTTTGTAGCATGGTAGCATGGTAGTCATATATCATCGGCACAATAAATCTATTTACGTAAAAAAAGAAGGGCAACAGTTTACGAAGAGCTACTGCAAAAAAAAATTGAAAATAAAAACGATGAAAATAATTTACTTTGCAGCTCGACCCGAAATCAGCCTTACACACCAAAGATAGTAGGTAGCGACCAATCGGCAAATAGCATCAGCTTGTGACGTTAGGAGTTCGACCCAAAGCATCTAGCCCATTGGTCGCTGTCCGTTGCTTTCGTCTGAATATCCCTCCTGAATATTCATTAGGTCTGTTCTCGTTACCTACACTTTCTGCACTTTTCAAAAAGTGCACATTCTCATTATTTACTTAAAAATATGCAATAAGAATGTTCACTTCTTAAAAAGTGCAGAAAGTGTAGGTAACGAGAACAGACCTATTTCGTAGTTGATCGCCTTGCTCGGGTTTTATTAATTTTTAGATAAGACACATATGCTTACCCACAGTCCAAACGACTGCTTTAATGCCTTTAGGGGCGTTTGCAATCTACTTAAAAATTTCGAAAGAAATAAGAAGTGTTAATCTGTCAGTACCAAAGAGATATTGCTAAGGAGGGCCAGCCTCCGCATATTCTTTGCACGAAACGAATTATATGGCATTTCAACTCCTTTCAGAACGTATATGCTTGTCCTAGCATATCTTCCGTGCTCACAGTGCCCATTAACTGTCAGATGTAGAGTCCAGTAAAGTCCCATGATGGCTGGTTCTCTTTACTAGTATCTCCTCGATGCTTGTCAGTGACGTGTGCCGACAGCGGGGAATTACCACTCACGATACTTTGATGTATTTTTTTTATTTATACAGATTGACAAGAATATTTAGACTCATTATTGTGCTTCGGCAATTTACATCATTGTCTAATAACGATAGGAAAGTGAAAAATTGTTATGACAGCTTGTCGTTCCTTATCACATTTATTTAATTAAATGGTTGAAATTTGTTTTTCTATAACATCTTATTAGTCAACTATTACATCGCTTTTGAATGGTGACACAAAGAACGTAGGACCCTTGTAACTGGACAAACGTAATGGATTCAAGCAGTGGAACAGATCCTTTAATGGATCAAACCTCTGAGTCAGAATATGCACTACAACTTGCATTTCAAACAATGAAAGAACGATGTCAGCAGTTACAAAATAGATTAGCGGTTGTGGAGGAAGAAAATTTATGTCTACGTCTAGAATGTGGCAAGGATACATCCACTGCAGTTGTACGTGGCAATGCATCCAGCGAAAGGACTGTTGTACAAACTCTACAGGTTTGAAATATATATATAATTTGTCGCCTATATTGTCTTCTCTTGTGATATTATTTATATTTTTTTCAGGAAAAAGTAGAAGACCTCACGAAACAGAAATCACAACTTACACATTATATTTTTATGGTTGCGGCAGAGAACCGCCAACTTTGGAATAGATTAACTCGATTGGCAAAAACTAATAAATCATTAGGGAGACACTTGAATAAAATATCAGATACATTGAAGGAACATCCACCTATGACACCATCAGATGTTTTGTCCTACAGCTTCAGAGATATTTCCAGCCTCATTAAAAATGAATCTACAAACTGTCTCCCATCAACAAACAATGGTATATTCTGAATTTTGTTTATTCTCATATAAATAATTTATTATGTTGTGATTTGTGTAATCGAAACCCATTTATTTCCAGAAAATAGACAGCAGAGTTTGGATGAAATGTCTTTAAAAATCCTTAATAGTTTAAAATTAAGAAAATCAGAACTGGAACAACAGTGTGCAGAGGTACTGGAACAATAAAATGCAGTTACGACAAGAGATTAATATCTAATAATCGTTCCTAATTTAGATGGTAGAAATGCAGAATAGTTTTGATTTAAATTTGCGAAATGGTGGATTTACCTACCCTGAAGATGGAGATGTAGATTCCTTACAACAGCTAAAGCAGCATGACGTAAGGCTATCTCAAACGAAGGATGCTCTCCTGGCACAGCAAGCCAAACTTAAAAGTGCTTTGCGGAATTTGGAGATTATGAAGAAAGGTAAGATAAGGACAACGATAATTATCCAAGTTGATTTCAATTCAAATATAAGAAAGACTATATATGAAATGCAATTTTGAATTTAGGTGTTACCTGTAAAAATTGTCGTGACAATGCTAGAAAGGAAATGTGTCAAATAGGAACACAATGTGATTCGGATGATAGTTTGAAGGAACACGGCGCTACTCAGACCAGTTTCTTATTATCTGGAAATTCTGATTTAGCAAGTGGTCAAAATGTTTCTGACAGCGATAAGAAGATAAGCGAAAGAGTTTGCCCCCTTTGCGGAGCATTATACGGGAAATCCACTACATTTTCGACATTTCATGAACATGTTTTAAATCATTTCACGGAGGAGGAGTGGGCGAATGAATTTGAAGTCGTACATTGAAGTAGTAATGACTTTGTTTATCATTGATGAAAAACATAAAAGGAAACGATCAAATAATATTATTCATTATTGTTTGGTATGGGAGCTCTGTGAGAAATTCATCTATTGCGTACAATTTGAGTATTTAGTAATACTGAGATCGCCGGGTGTAGTTATAGTTTAAAGACTGTCGAAAAATTATTATTTAGAAGAGAATAAAGCGATTCTAGGTTATTAGGTATTATAAATACAGTTTAACGCGTGCCTCCCACTTCGTAGCTTAACGGGAACTGAGAGTAGAGGTGCTATACCGATTGTAAATCCGATCATTTTAAACAACGGACTTTTGTAGTGGTTATACTACGTGAAATTATTATGCTACTCTTTATTTAATTCGTTAGTCTTTTTACAGAATGATCACCAAGGTGAACATACAATATTGCGAAAACGTGTGACAATGTTAATAAAACTCGACTTAATATTTTCCACTTGTTTCCTTATTTAAAAATATTTTTAAATTATGCCAGTTCTGTAGGCTTCACCTCTTTACTATCTGAAGCATTTTGAGTTGTTGGCTGCATGAGATTTTGGTGGAACCATTGTGGTCGTTTTTTTGGTACCTCAACCACGCGTTGATTCTATGAAACATACAATTTATGTAGTCAGCAATCAAGAGTGTACCATTGAAATTATTAGTTGGCACAATGAACATCTTTAATACCTTCCAAAATTCAGCAGATTTTTTTTCCTTTTCTCCTTCATAAAGTACAACCACCTCTTGTTCTACGGGCTTCAGTTTCAACTGAGACCGAATAATTTTCTGAAGATTGTTAGTTTCTTGTTTTACTCTTGCATAACAGTATCCTGAAAATTCATAAATGCTGCAAAATGTTTTCACTTATAGTGCAATTTACTAGACTTACCACACAAATTTCCAGCCTCATAATTATGACCACAATTTGTACACATCAAAATATTTGTTTTTGGTACCAATGGTTTCCAATTGTATTTCGGCACACCAAATTTTCTCTTCAGCCTCTTTTCAACAGTCCTCCTAGATTTTGGTACGGCCCAAAGAAAACCATCACCCAGTATATCCTTAATAGAAAGCTCACCTGGTTTGTGCGATAATTGTACCAAATTGCTGCTACCACTGATTGGTAGCGCACACAGGGCCTCTAATTAAATGAAAAAATCATGTTAAAAATAAATTTCATAGTCACTGTCTCAGTTACAAATAAGAAATGCTAAATATCTATCCAAAGTAAGTAACCGTGATTGAAGGTTATGTTATGTTATGTTATGTTCACTGCTAAGTAACGTTTACTCCAGACTCTTAAACGTATCTACTTTGTACAGAAGTGCTTACCAGGAGGAAATCCACGTCCAAACAAGAGGTTGATCGCATGATCTAGCTTCTGTAGAGCAATACCTAGACGATTTATAATATGCGCTGCCATAATGAAGTTACAGCAGAACACAATCAATCTGAAAGTGAAGATTTCTCACTAAGCACACGTGTTTGAATAATTTATTATGATGAGATATTAATTAGGAAATTGAAAAATGAAAATGAGCAAACAGGAAATATCACGGTGTCATGAAATTCTAACATTAGATACTTCGTGACAAATCCAAACTGTAGGCGACCGGCTAAAATTCAAGTCGACTGAAACTATGATATATGATCAATATGGCGGGTCGCTCTAGTCACTTAGAATTGGAGGCTCGAAAGGGAGATCATATAGGTGATCACAGAGCATGAAGGATTTAAGATGCCCGAGACCAGCCACGACCATCGATAGTCAAGGCTTGAAGATAGTTGAGTACTAGAATTGACTAGAATATATTTCTGACTTTACGACGATATTTACGATTTACGAAAGAGTGATGATGAAGGGACAAGAGGAGGGATAGGAGGTGGGGATTGATTTTGAGGGTCGGTGGGGACCAGTGGGGACTCGGCTAGTGGAACTTGAAAGTCTTTGGGAGCTGCTCGACTCGACTCACTACAGTTTTCGCTATGGCGTGTGTAGGGTCGAGTCGGCTCTGTGCTCGTGTAGAGAAATTGTGCCAGTTCGGACAGTTCGCCCAGTTTCGCAGGAAAGTTTCAACGACGTGTGTTAAGTTTCGACAGGAGTTCCAACAACCGGCTAAGACTGTCGTACAGCACTGCAAGGTACCGTTCTATCCTACTGTCGTCCTACCCTAACTTGACCTGATTATACGTTATATCTACTTTTTGTTGAATCTTCGAAACATCGAATATTAACAGGAGCATTGGCAATTATCTTCACTATAATATCCAACTGAGAAACTCTGCGCATTCAGTCAAAATTCAATTAATATCGTTACTCTTCCGATGACAATTTTCTAACCTCCAACTAGTCTCGAAAATATTTAACAGCTCGAAATGAATCCTAATCAGTGCTGTAGCACGCTCTGTCATCTGAAATGTTATGAAGTTATCAATATGGTTAATTACAATAAACTGTATAAATTAAGTCGATTGATTGAATGCAGAAGAAAAGCTCTCGAAGTTACATAATAGACTCTAGAAATAGGACAGATCTTTGATAATTACGAGGCATGATTTGACGAACATCCTCGGGCGATACTTTCGCAAATTTCTTATTCGTTACGGTGAACCTGGTGACAACTATTTACTATTGACATGTCGCCATTTATTTCTATTTTATTAAAATTGCACGTGGCGCGCGGCAAAAGTCGTAAAAATGTGTTCCACACCGTTGTCAGCTGTTTCTAGCAGACGCCACGTGAGTCGTCTGCTTCGACGCATGCAACTTTCTGGATGCGCATCCTTTCGCGAAATCTTCGTCATAACGAAGCACGCCTTCTCTTGAATATGTTGCCTGCTCTTCATTAATAATTTACATGCGATTATCACGGCGCGACACAACGTTTCAATATTATCTGGAGCTACACGCTTCGCACGTTGCATGTGCGCATGCGTGATCGTTGCATTTGAAAACTACCTCGAAATATTCGCACTGCTGTCTACCGCAGCGACAACAGAAGACAAAGCAAGTCAAAAGTAAAACTTATGTATATTGCTCATAATTGAAGGAGCGGTATCGATGGGCATTCATCGGACCTCGAACGTCCATTAGTAGCCGAGTGATTACGCGTGAGAAAGTGATAGTAAGAAGTTAATTGGACGATCTCCGTGATAGATTCCTCTCGCTGAGGCTGCGGTTCCCTCTCAATTGTTAGAGTCTGCTTTTACGAAGGTTGTGCGTTCACTTCATAAGGATAAACTATTTGATAAGAAGGAAGGAGGAGATACTCGTGTGTCTGGGAAATTCAAATGAGGACTTTCTCGCTCGGCGATTTCGAAGTCGCGAAAGCGAATAACGCGGCAGGTAAGAATGGTGGAGGGAGGCAGAGCGAGAGAGAAGAGAGGCAGGGATGAGATGGATTTGAGATTTTTGAATAAGTATAAATAAATGGAGTGATTATAATTTGAGTGCCAGCTTCCTAATTATCACAGTGGCCATGAGGCACAGGTACACACATAGGACAGACACATGAAATCGCTTTCGATGGCCGTTAATCGTTATTCACGTTACGAAAGCGTAGGTAAATACGGCACGTGGGGCTCTTGGACCCCGGTCCCCGGGTGGGGCGGCAGTTCTGGGGCCCGTGGAGTTTACACAAAATACTATGGTCTGAATATTGTTCAATTGGCGAAACCAGTTGGCACAAGTAGGTCAACCGGCGGATCCTCAGGTCTGACATCACAAAAGATGGAACAACGCGCCGTCGACGGTGCGATCGGATATGGCAGAATGCACGATGAATGCAGACGAATGAGAGAGTAAATGTCGAAATTGATGGAAATAACTGGGTAAGGACGAAGGGGAGACTCGACTGTGTATTCCGTTCGCGCTCACTCGCGTTCGCTCACGCTCTTGACTTTCTCAGGTGCAACTCGCCGCGAATTCCTGCGTAGAGCTCCGTCTGCGTCCTCACTTTCTTCCACGGCGCAGACTCTCTCGCGGCCGGAATCGACAATTCCAAATGTCGAATTGAAAATGGAAAATTCAGCTTGGAAAAGCGGGAAGGTCGACCGTAAAGGAAGCTCGTGCGACTTCCGCCTTGAACTTTGCAGGCAACTCGCGACGAATGAAAAAATAAAAAAAAATCTTTTTCTCTACTCGTTCGAATTCTCGTTACCATAGCAGTTCGCTCCAACTAATCTCTTTGAAATTCCGCGCTCGTCTTCCTGTAGCGCGTCAAACGTGCGCATCGGAATGCATGAATATTTTCACAATACAATTACATTAAGGCAACGAATTACTACGTCTATGGGCGAGGGCAGTATTAGCATAGAATCGCGAGTGTGCAGCTCCAATCCGTCCGCCATTTCCAATTTCGTAAGGTCCAGGATGCCAGGAATGGACGCAAACGCAATGGCGCTCGACGTGGAAGCGCCAAGGCTGCGTCTTTGGAAATCTCCCGGCAGCTTAGTTTCGATTTTGCGCTTTTCTCCTTCTTTTCTCTCTTTCCTCTCTTTCTAGAACAAATAGTCGGACGTGTACGTGGACGGACGCGCGGTTGCGTCGGCAGGTGGCACAGCTGCTCGCTGGAATGGACGAAGCCGCGCAAGACTGCCGCGTCCCACATAGCTGCCCAGAGACCCGTCGTTCCTGACATTTATGTCTCTAGTATTAGCCAATCGCAGTTATCGCCATTAACCCTTGCCGACTCGTGCCTCGGTCTGCTCGCTCATCATTATGTACAAATCATCACATCCAATATAAACTGTGGCTGCACGTAATCTCCGAGGAATATTAAAATCCAGTTGTGTTTCCTGGAGACACGAGGAGGCACGAGGAGACCACGGACCTGCCCGACATTTCGCAACAAAGTCTCGTTATTCCTGCCTGACGAGGAATCTCTCGATTCTGGAATATCCTGTTTCACCATCCACTCGGACTTTCGCATTTGTCCTTAGCTCCCATTAGTTTTTAGGTCCCGGCACTCCGGATTCTCGATCCTATCTCGTTATTAAATACTCCTCTTGAGTCCCAGCAATTACCCAAATTGGCGTTGGCGAATCGACGCGAGTGCCTTCTTACGATGAAATTATGCAACAGGACGGCGGATACGTTCGAGGAGAACTCTTGCTTGACGCTTTCGCAGGCTTGCTGATAATTTTCGAGTAGCTCGATGTCGAAATGCCTAATTCACACGATTCGCAGGCAGCGTACCGTCTTAATAAAAAGTCTATTTTCGTTAGAACCTCCGGAACCGAATCTTGGCTAATCCGAAGGACCTTCGATCAAAGAGGCGATTGATTATTCGACGAAGAATTATTCTCTGCGCTCTCAGACACTTTGCTTATTCGCTATTTTGAAGCATGAGTGAAAGATTGAAATCCAAGGTACGTGGCACGATGGCGCGTTCCTCGACGCCAGATGGAAACGATTCCTAAGGACAATAGAAGAGGATACGGAGTTAACGGCCTAATGCAGTCTTTGTCCTCGAGGAAAGGAGTCACGGACGGACAATGTCTTGACGATGGGACAACGATTAACTCATAGGTTCCATAAAACACAAAGAGGACAGTGCAGTTGCGTAATCGCGAGGATGCTGCCGAGGCTGCAGGATAATCATCTCGCTTCTTCGGCTCGCGATAATCATCGGGGGCACAACGTGAGGCTAATCTGCACGCCATCTCCGAATTCAAACGAACGAAGATCTTAAGTCTCTCATGGTCGTGTCCCACGTGTCCCACGTGTCCCGCGTGTCCTCCGAACGGGGATCCAATCGCACGCGAGTTTGCGCAACCGATACGTGATCCCGAAGAATTCGATTCCCGCGAAAAGGGAAACGTGCCTGCCGGCAACGTCCACTGTCGGCGCCTCTCCACTTGTGTCGAGCACCTCGACCTCGGCACAGGCGACGCCCGTGGAGCGTCGCCGCTGCGCGAGCGAACCTTCCTCGGGAGTCCCAGGATCACCAGGATCACCAGGATCACCAGGTGCACCAGGATCCTCGGGGGACGCTGTGCATGTCGAGAGAAGAAGCAGCGATGGAACGCGGAGTGTTGAATTATTCTGGCTTAGCGAACTGACGAAACTCGCTGATGTCGCCTGAGAAGAAGCGCACAGAAGACAAAAAGACGAACGAGTGGATGCGTTCGCTATTAGAGAGAGAGAGAGAGAGAGAGAGAGAGAGAGAGAGGGGGGGGGGCTGGATCCATGGATCCATTGACGGCGCGTCCTAGCACAAGTTGTACGACTCATGAATCAGCGACGCTTCGCCTGCGTCAATTGGACGCCTCCTGCATGAATGAACGAAGCTCCCGCGCGCATTCGGCTTCGCACTCGACCTCGCCTTTGCAACCGCGTCTTTCCTCTCCGGCCGATCACTTTTTCTCGATTCTCGATCGATTTGTCGCGAGCACAACTGACTCCCCCCTTTGGAGGCAGCTGCCTCGCAGGAGAAAATGGTTCTCCCGAGTCCAGCAGCCAGATAGAAATTTTTAGGGTGCGCCCGCGACCAGCTGTATCAGAGAGCATTACGCTTTGCGTAGGTTGCCGACCAAAATTGCTTGATTCAATATAAGAAGACAAAAAAAAGAAGGCGAGCATTCAGGCTGAGCAGCGCACGAATCGACTTGTATCTTTTTGTATTTTGTACTTTCGGCGGAGAGTGATCTCAATGCGGAAAGCATTTCTTTCTTCCAACTACCGAATATACTTTTTGCACTCTATTTGCACGAGAGCCATTTTGACAAAACGTACAAATTAATTCATCTAGGTCCATTTACGTGTATTACGAAATTCTCCACACCTGCGCCACCAGCATTAATATAATCTGCTGGTTGTATTGCCAACCGGATATTTCTTTGAAAAAAAAAAAATTCGGCAAGTTTGGCTAATTTTAGAAATAATTCGAATCATTTAATTGACGATTATTTATTTTACCTCCAAAAGAATTTCTCAAGTTTTTATATTATTCTGGATTCCTAGGACGCCGCGCGTGGTCTCAAAGTCCAATTTTATGTGGACGATAGGCCTGAACTAGTCGCTCGACACGTGTCCTACCTGTTCGGGCACACACACACACACACACACACACACACACACACACGAAGCCACAGTGATTTTATTCGATTCAGCTAAAATGATGAAATCATTAAAGAAGAATCAATAACCTAAAATGTACTGCCGGTCGGTGTCTCGGTCGTCTCAGGATTCAAGAACATAAAGGATCAGTAGGCAATGACATACAGTTGCGCTGCCGTG